TGACAACAGATGCTAAGTTTCCGTTACGTCTAAACTCACGGTTTGTATTAACAGTGTCTGATTATGTTTACGTCATTGACTTATAACTTCTTAGGCTCTTCTATCATTTTTTGGTTCATTGTTACGTACGGATTCTTTCAGTGTTGTTTCACCCGATGCAAATTAGCTAAATTCGCGAATAACCCGTTTGTATTGTAGCTGTTTACTATTTTTGAGATTCTGACATTTGTTTTAAAGTAGGTCTTGTACTGGCTGCTCCAGGAAGTGGACGGGCAGCACTCTCATACTACCGGTAGTCGTTAATTGTTCGAAACCACGCCAATATGTGTCTGATGTGGCAAAGCATCAGAAGTGGGGTGCGCTACAACCCACTGAAAACTACGATGGTCGAAAGCAAATCCCTTACGCTTAAAAACGTCGAAAGGGTCCTCTTTCGTTTCGATCCGTTCTTTCCGCAGAACGACAGTCTCAGGTAAGCGATGCGCTTCTGCACTATCTGGATATGTTCGACCTCTCTACGAGTCAATCTATGCTTAGGAACTTCATGCCACTTATCATGCTCGAGCGGGTTCGACAGACAAATCCAAATTGCGTCGTAAAGGCCTACCTGACAAACGATCGTACTCCTCCTACGTTCAGAGCTAGCTTGTGTAAATTTTTTGTTTTTGGACTTATGTTGATAGTTCGGTAATATCTAACTTTAGAATCTAATGTTCGAAAACTTTAATGAAGTGGAGTGGTACTATTCATCCCTGCCTTAAATTTCATTGGTATACTTGTGTATCAAACTAGGGGAAAGAATCATAGGTAAACTTGAAAGTATTATACTCAGTTGATACCTGCTACTTCGTGCCAAGCGAAACTGGTTTTGAAATGCTAAAAGTTGAATATAGTGAATATAAGGCGACCGAAGGCAAATAAAGTTTTTTAATTCCGGGACGCTTCGGCAGTCATAAGGCTGGGCCATTGAGTCAGCAAGTAAACTTGTTCAACGCCACCCTGGTCTGACTGCTGTAACAGCCGAAGCGTTTAAATTGTTTTTCATCACCTATATTAAATTATCTGAGAGTATTATGCTAATCAAACTGAGCAGCTTGACCGTATTTGAGTGTTGAAAGAGATATCGTTTAATTGCCTATTTGAACAACAATTAATGGTCTTAACAATAACAAGCAATAACAGTTAATGGTCTTTGATTCCAGACTCATGACTTAAGGCAAAAATTTTTTTTGCCTTGAATGATCGATGATTAAACGAAGAGCATTAACTCTACTTCGTATATATTCTTTCAGGTCTCGTCCTTATTTAAGTGAGCAAATGATATAGTTTTTTCATTCTGCTAGTGGTTGTTGTATCTGTCGATCTGCCTTAGAGCCATTAAACATAAGAAGATTTGTCGTATCCAGATTACTATCGTTTCATTTTGTGATCCAGAACAGGGCTTTATGGCTGTTGTAGTCACTATGAAGAATAAACGTTACCTTTCTTTACCCAAGGGCTGCCCCTCCGGAAGCGAATGAAACTCTGACGGAAAAGTCTCACAAGCAGTGCTATGATAACAACATCAAGAAAAGGTTACTGGAACATATAAGGAGCGACCACATATTACATATTAGCGTTAGTTAGTCTCACACACACACACACACACACACACACACACACACACACACACACACACACACACACACACACACA